AAAGGCTGAACCCAGCAATGTTCACTGGAAAGATGTGTGGTATCATGGAATGAAATAACAGACCAGAAAGGAATAGTTTTGTTTTCCTCCATTGATGAAATGAGTCAATGGGTATTGAATGTAAAGGGGAAAAAAAAATTTATGTTTGCAGAAGGACATCAATGTGAACACTGAAAAGATGTGTCATGGAATGAAATAACAGACCAGAAAGGAATAGTTTTGTTTTCCTCCATTGATGAAATGAGTCAATGGGTATTGAATGTAAAGGGGAAAAAAAAATTTATGTTTGCAGAAGGACATCAATGTGAACACTGAAAAGATGTGTCATGGAATGAAATAACAGACCAGAAAGAAATAGTTTTGTTTTCCTCCATTGATGAAATGAGTCAATGGGTATTGAATGTAAAGGGGAAAAAAAAATTTATGTTTGCAGAAGGACATCAATGTGAACACTGAAAAGATGTGTCATGGAATGAAATAACAGACCAGAAAGAAATAGTTTTGTTTTTCCTCCATTGATGAAATGAGTCAATAAAGGGGAAAAAAAAAATTTATTGACATCAATGTGAACACTGAAAAAAGGAAAAAAAAGTTTTGTTTATCCATTTGCAGAAGGACATCAATGTAAAGGGAACACTGAAAAGATGTGTCATGGAATGAAATAACAGACCAGAAAGAAATAGTTTTGTTTTCCTCCATTGATGAAATGAGTCAATGGGTATTGAATGTAAAGGGAAAAAAAAATTTATGTTTGCAGAAGGACATCAATGTGAACACTGAAAAGATGTGTCATGGAATGAAATAACAGACCAGAAAGAAATAGTTTTGTTTTCCTCCATTGATGAAATGAGTCAATGGGTATTGAATGTAAAGGGGAAAAAAAAATTTATGTTTGCAGAAGGACATCAATGTGAACACTGAAAAGATGTGTCATGGAATGAAATAACAGACCAGAAAGAAATAGTTTTGTTTTTCCTCCATTGATGAAATGAGTCAATGGGTATTGAATGTAAAGGGGAAAAAAAAAATTTATGTTTGCAGAAGGACATCAATGTGAACACTGAAAAGATGTGTCATGGAATGAAATAACAGACCAGAAAGGAATAGTTTTGTTTTCCTCCATTGATGAAATGAGTCAATGGGTATTGAATGTAAAGGGGAAAAAAAAATTTATGTTTGCAGAAGGACATCAATGTGAACACTGAAAAGATGTGTCATGGAATGAAATAACAGACCAGAAAGAAATAGTTTTGTTTTCCAAAGTAGAAATAAATCCAGAATTTGAAAAACAATGATGTATTTCGAGTTGTGGAATACAGTAACCAATTATTAATTTCATACAAATGGATGTTTATGAAGATATAACCCCTTACACTCGTCACACACTCAACTCTTGCAGAGTTGGCTGTTATGCCCGGCAGATTCCCAATCAGGACCAAGTGACAACAATCCACTCTCCCCTCAAATTGTGAGTTTTCTGACCTGAAGAGTGGTTTCATTGATCCTGGACCAACATTGTCTGTTAAGAGTGCTGAGAGCGGGACAAGGGTATATTAGTAAAAAAAATAAATTACAATAAAATAATCATAGAAGAAAGGTCTGAGTTGCTTCAATAGAGTTCAAGTCTTTACATACAGGCAGAATTAAAATTAAGGAGAGAAAGAGAGGGGGGAAAAGAGAGTGTCAGCTGCGTATCAGGTTATCTCTCTCGGTCGTTTCGATTTCTTACGCGAATATTGCATTCGCCCTTGCTTATACAACAGGGCCTTCCACTTGGTTCATATCAGGTTTTTGCACTCTGCTTACAACTGCTATTATGATCTTGTCTCAAGAACCTTACTCTATTCTCCACAATTCTACTGTTCGCAGATCTGCTCATCACTCCCTGGCCCTCTGCTATTCACCACTATGACTCTCTTATTGCTCCCTACTACTCTGTGCAACTCAGCTAACCACCTCTCTCATTCGTAGCCCTCTTTATATCAAAGATGGGTGAGGTTGTTACTTCAAGGGTCTCCATGCATAATTGCTATAGCCAATCATTGACAGTCCTCCTACCACCATAACTTTATCTTCCTACTAATCCTAATTCCTCTCTCTCTTCCTCCCAATAGACACTCTCACACCGCTATAGGTGGGCCCGAACAGGACAGCCACTCGCCACCCAAGAATTGTCATTATTGGCCACCTTCGACTCTCCTTACTTCTGGCCAATTATATTCTGGGTAGCCCCAAGACAGCCAATCACCATCCGAGAATTGTCATTATCTGCCACCTTCAACTCCCCTTACTTCTGGACAATTATATTCTGGGTAGCCCCAAGACAGCCAATCACCATCCAAGAATTGTCATTATCTGCCACCTTCGACTCCCCTTACTTCTGGCCAACTATATTCTGGGTAGCCCCAGAACAGCCAATCACCATCCGAGAATTGTCATTATCTGCCACCCTTTGACTCCCTTTTCCTCTGCTCAGTTCCAACATGGCCACACACATATTTCAAGGTAGACTTTTCACCAGGACACGTTAACTTCTCCAACAATAGTCAGTCACTCGTCCAGAACTACTGATCGCCAGGATATCTGGCCCTTCATATTTTATGTCCACAAAAAAAAAAAAGAGATAAAATTTTCAGTGACCTCTTCAAAAAAAAGAAATAAGAAGAATTTTTTTCCAACTTTTCCTTAAGCGAATCAATCCCTCCTATATTGTTACCCCTTACTTTATCAATATTTCCAGTTAGTCTGTTAATTTCATCAAGTTACTCATAGCCTTAATTTTATTACCACTTGAACCATCCTTAATTGTTATTATTTTTATCTTCGCTTCCTAATCAATTCATTACGCTTCGTTAATTAGCACTTATTTTAATTTCACCGACTCTCTTTCTCTGTCGTCGAGAAAATCAAGAATGATACCAATGTTGTCGAGGCTCATCTGGTTGCCAGAAGCTTTGAGGAAAGAAAAGCCAATCAAAACTCAAATTCGCCAACTTCCTGTTAATCGCTAAGAATAGAGTTTGTTATTGCACTTACTGCAAGTTGGAAAATTAGTTCAATTGACTTCTGCATTTCTGCAAGAAGATGCAGTTCAGAGGAATGTGTACCTGCAACCTCCACCAGAATTCTGTGATGCTGGAAAAATTTGGAAATTAAAGAGGTGTATTTATGGGTCTTAATGATGCACCTGGAGCATGGTATAAGCATATTCGAAGAAACTAGTAAATCTTGGTGGAAAGCCAAGTATCTATGATGCCATGCTTTTGTCACACAAAAGCAGTAAGTTGAAAGAGGTTTTGCTATGCCATACAGGCTTGCTGGAATGGGTCAAGAAAACAGTCAACAAACTGAGTATCATATACTTATTATAAAACCCAGGTTGTGTGTGTGTCTGTACGTTTATATATTGGATCGGATTTCCTACATTTTTCAACTGATTTCAACAAAACTTCACAGGACTACGTAAAATTACTTTGTAGTGGTTCTGACAGTGCCAAAAATTGGAAAAACACAATTGGTTTGCACAAAATCAATTTAAAAACACGATTAAGAAGCATCGCGAGAATGAAAGGGGGACAACTCATATCAAGTTATACTTATTATAAAACCCAGGTTGTTTGTGTGTTCATTTATATATGGGATCGGATTTCCTACATTTTTCAACCGATTTCAACAAAACTTCACTTTTTTTTGGCAGGTAGTGTTTCTTATTGTCTTGCACACTTTTTTCTTTATTTTTACATTCAGAATGCTTTAAAAATTCCATTTACAAGACAATTGTTTATAATAAAATTCTATTCAATCGGTAGAGACTCATAACGATTGAAAACAATGTTTTTGTTTGAGTTTGACAAATTCGTAAAAAAACAAAAAAAAAAACTAATTAAGACATGCGTGTCCATCAACCTTAAACAATAATCTTTGTCAATTTCATTTTTCAGTCTTTATGATGGTTGATACTTGATCTATCTCTTACTGTTATATCCCCAGGCAACGCCGGGCTGTCCTGCTAGTATTTAATATAAGTTCTCATACTCAAGACTCATTTAAATATTTTGGTTTGAATGTAGTGCAAAATGAAACAAAGGTTCAAGTTCATCAGCAAAACTATACTATTTACATTGTCCAGACTATCATCCACTGTGCTATATGTCCTCAATTGGATAAAGGCGTTAGTTAGATCCAGTGACAGGACCCAAAGAGTGTGACTTCAATACCTGCTTAAGGCGGTGGAGAACTTGGAGAGGGGAATTAAAAGAAGATAACCGATAACTGACATCCATTAGACCTGGCATGTGGAAGTAGAACAGACTACCCCAGCGAGCGAGATAAAGGGTTCAGTTCGACAATCCAACAACCTGAAGAAGGCTGGAGCATACAACAGCTGAAACATTGTGATAAATATGGTAACAAAGATGAGGACAATAGTCCAAATAATGTAAATAGTGCACATAATACCTAATCTCAGAAATATAGACAGACAGCAAAAGTGTGTTTAAAACTTGAAACCAATCTTTTTGTCATCAGACTGTAGAAAACGCAAGCATGACAAACTAACAGTTGAGGAAAAATCAGCACTTCATTCTTTAAGTGAAAAATTACTATGGACAATTCCACAGACTTGACCTGATGTTGCTTATGATGCATGTATTGTCAGAAATTATGATTATTGATGACAAACAAGGCAGTAAGGAAAGTCCAATCAAATAATGTTCGATTGGTCTTTCCATGCTTGGAAGAGGCTGATAGAATCAGGGTTCTAGTATATTCCAATGCTACACATGCAAGTCTTCCATCATGATCTTCACATGAAGTCTTGGTAATTTTCCTTGCAAGCAATGATAATGTTGCTCCAATTATGTGGCAGTGAAAAAAACTAAATGGAATTACGAAACGTCCTCTGGCATCAAAGACCATGGCATTAGCAGAAGCAGCAGATCTCATAGCTGCAATGGTTCAAGAGGTCTTCTCTCTGTCAGTTTCCTCTGGCATCAAAGACCATGGCATTAACAGAAGCAGCAGATCTAATAGCTGCAATGGTTCAAGAGGTCTTCTCTCTGTCAGTTTCCTCTGGCATCAAAGACCATGGCATTAACAAAGACAGATCTAATAGCTGCAATGGTTCAAGAAGGTCTTCTCTCTGTCAGTTTCCTCTGGCATCTAAGACCATGGCATTAACAGAAGCAGCAGATCTAATAGCTGCAATGGTTCAAGATGTCTTCTCTCTGTCAGTTTCCTCTGGCATCAAAGACCATGGCATTAACAGAAGCAGCAGATCTAATAGCTGCATGGTTTCTCTCTGTCAGTTTCCTCTGGCATCAAAGACCATGGCATTAACAGAAGCAGCAGATCTAATAGCTGCAATGGTTCAAGAGGTCTTCTCTCTGTCAGTTTCCTCTGGCATCAAAGACCATGGCATTAACAGAAGCAGAGGATCTAATAGCTGCAATGGTTCAAGAGGTCTTCTCTCTGTCAGTTTCCTCTGGCATCAAAGACCATGGCATTAACAGAAGCAGCAGATCTAATAGCTGCAATGGTTCAAGAGGTCTTCTCTCTGTCAGTTTCCTCTGGCATCAAAGACCATGGCATTAACAGAAGCAGCAGATCTAATAGCTGCAATGGTTCAAGAGGTCTTCTCACTGTCAGTTTCTCTGGCATCAAAGACCATGGCATTAACAGAAGCAGCAGATCTAATAGCTGCAATGGTTCAAGAGGTCTTCTCACTGTCAGCTCTGGCATCAAAGACCATGGCATTAACAGAAGCAGCAGATCTAATAGCTGCAATGGTTCAAGAGGTCTTCTCACTGTCAGTTTCCTCTGGCATCAAAGACCATGGCATTAACAGAAGCAGCAGATCTAATAGCTGCAATGGTTCAAGAGGTCTTCTCTCTGTCAGTTTCCTCTGGCATCAAAGACCATGGCATTAACAAAGCAGCAGATCTAATAGCTGCAATGGTTCAAGAGGTCTTCTCACTGTCAGTTTCCTCTGGCCTCAAAGACCATGGCATTAACAGAAGCAGCAGATCTAATAGCTGCAATGGTTCAAGAGGTCTTCTCACTGTCAGTTTCCTCTGGCCTCAAAGACCATGGCATTAACAGAAGCAGCAGATCTAATAGCTGCAATGGTTCAAGAGGTCTTCTCTCTGTCAGTTTCCTCTGGCATCAAAGACCATGGCATTAACAGAAGCAGCAGATCTAATAGCTGCAATGGTTCAAGAGGTCTTCTCACTGTCAGTTTCCTCTGGCATCAAAGACCATGGCATTAACAGAAGCAGCAGATCTAATAGCTGCAATGGTTCAAGAGGTCTTCTCACTGTCAGTTTCCTCTGGCATCAAAGACCATGGCATTAACAGAAAGATCTAATAGCTGCAATGTTTCAAGAGGTCTTCTCACTGTCAGTTTCCTCTGGCATCAAAGACCATGGCATTAACAGAAGCAGCAGATCTAATAGCTGCAATGGTTCAAGAGTTTTCTCACTGTCAGTTTCCTCTGGCATCAAAGACCATGGCATTAACAGAAGCAGCAGATCTAATAGCTGCAATGGTTCAAGAGGTCTTCTCACTGTCAGTTTCCTCTGGCATCAAAGACCATGGCATTAACAGAAGCAGCAGATCTAATAGCTGCAATGGTTCAAGAGGTCTTCTCACTGTGTTTCCTCTGGCATCAAAGACCATTTAACAGAAGCAGCCTCTGGTTTCCTCTGGCATCAAAGACCATGGCATTAACAGAAACAGCAGATCTAATAGCTGCAATGGTTCAAGTCTTCTCTCTGTCAGTTTCCTCTGGCATCAAAGACCATGGCATTAACAGAAGAGCAGATCTAATAGCTGCAATGGTTCAAGAGGTCTTCTCTCTGTCAGTTTCCTCTGGCATCAAAGACCATGGCATTAACAGAAGCAGCAGATCTAATAGCTGCAATGGTTCAAGAGGTCTTCTCACTGTCAGTTTCCTCTGGCATCAAAGACCATGGCATTAACAGAAGCAGCAGATCTAATTGCTGCAATGGTTCAAAGGGCTTCTCCACTGTCAGTTTCCTCTGGCCTCAAAGACCATGGCATTAACAGAAGCAGCAGATCTAATAGCTGCAATGGTTTAAGAGTCTTCTCTCTGTCAGTTTCCTCTGGCATCAAAGACCATGGCATTAACAGAAGCAGCAGATCTAATAGCTGCAATGGTTCAAGAGGTCTTCTCACTGTCAGTTTCCTCTGGCATCAAAGACCATGGCATTAACAGAAGCAGCAGATCTAATAGCTGCAATGGTTCAAGAGGTCTTCTCTCTGTCAGTTTCCTCTGGCATCAAAGACCATGGCATTAACAGAAGCAGCAGATCTAATAGCTGCAATGGTTCAAGAGGTCTTCTCACTGTCAGTTTCTTCAACAGTAGTAGAATGTTTCACTGACAATGACATGCAACATATTGAGAAGGTCTGTTAGGAAACAAGACTTTCTTAAGATGTCACATGTCATTCAAGATACTCTACTTAGGATTGATGTGGTAAAGGTCAGAGAAATACTGAATCTAAATAAAATATATGTAAACTAGGTAAGGAATGAGTAGAAGTTAGCAGACAAAGTCAGGGGCCTCTTTAACAAAGTTGCTTCAAAAATGCCAAATTGCTTTTGTAATTGATTGTATACAGATGGTGGGGGGATTTTAATTTATATTTGCAGAAGGACACCAATATTAATGACTTAATTACCTCCCCTTTGATTCTAATACCTATATAAGGTTGTAAAGTGGAAACTAGCTTTACTTGTTTTGGTTTTGGTTTTTTTTTATTCTGAAAATCATGGAGGACTAACGACATAACAGAAGGAACTAAAGTGAGGATTAATAGTTACCCCCAAGTAACAAACACCTGAAGAAGGCTAGGGAGTATAACAGCTGAATCATTATGATAACAACAAAGATGAAGAAAATAGTGTAATCATTACAGCCTGAAAGTACCCAGTCACTAATAATTGCTTAATATCCTGCCATGATTTGAACTGTCAACCTAGAGGTATGCAGGCAGGGGACATATCCACTATGCCAACATTTTGCGGTTTGAACAGCAAGGTAGAAATTAACTTATGAGTACTAAATACCACACTAACACTTGTGCAATCTCATCATTTTTATGGTTACAATGAGACTTAGAATATATGCGCATACACTTTATATATGTGTGGACGCAACAAGGAAAGGCGTGGTTCCACTCTTTTCACTAGCTTTGTGTTTAATAACAAAGTAGACTAGGCATTCTTGCCAGTCTAAAAGAATGAGATCTTTGAATTTCAAACCATGGAGATGGCAACAGGAAACTACTCCACCATCTTTCCCAAGAATGTAAGGCAATTCACAAGTAATAAAGAAACAGTATAATAGCTGACATCCTGAAAAGACATGGTAGTTTTGAGGTGACTCATTTACAAGTCACAAAGACTATAAATACCTACAGCTATTACCCATGAGGCAGTTGAGTGCATACTACTTTCTGTGAGTCACGACAATGGTTTCAGGATATCTAAAGAACCAAACGGGGTAAAAACACTATGAAAGTGTAAAAGCAAGTTTTAATACCTGAAATACTTTGTAAAAAAAAAATATTACCAGCAATAGTTTTTTGAAAAAAAATTATTACCAGCATCACATTTTGGAAAAAAAAATTGTTACCAAAAAATAGATTTTTGACAAAACAAAATATTACCATTATGAAAATTTTTTTGGCTTTAAATAACCCACTGAGGTTGATATGCCGTAAAACAAAAGAAACCAAACCAAACTAAAGAACCTAACGAACAATTATCACTGGATAATTATGAATACACACAAGCGTGACTTAGGATACTAGCAGAAGGACACTAATATTAATGACTTAATTACCTCCCCTTTGATTCTAATACCTATATAAGGGTGTAAAGTGGAAACTAGCTTTACTTGTTTTGTTTTTTTTATTCTGGAAATCATGGAGGACTAACGACATAACAGAAGGAACTAAAGTGAGGATTAATAGTTACCCCCAAGTAACAAACACCTGAAGAAGGCTAGAACAAAAAAGCTGAAGCATTTAAAATCAGTTGGAGGAGAAAACCAAATAACTGATCTCTTCTTGGCGACTGCTTGTTGTGAGTCCATTATAAAATTATCAGCAATTGCACACTCAAGACAGTTGGAGGAAATGATATTTGACAATAAGTCAACTAATAGTGAAAAACAGCATGCAAGAAAAAATTAATGAATGAAGAGAGAGCTAAGTTCATGAATATTTCTCAAAATGTGAATGAACCAGTTATTGAATATTTTCTTCATTTAAAACAGACTGCTAAATATTGTGAATTTAAGAAACTGTGATCAGAAAACCAATCAAAGAGGATTTGATCCAAATGAAATTAGTAAATAGTCTTAAAAATGAGTAACGACAATTGACTCTAAGGCATTTACAACTGGGAAAGTGGTCACAAAAGACAGTGTGTCGAATTTGTTCAGCAACAAAAATTCAAATGAAACTGTAACAGAAAAACAGTTACAGATCTGGACACATACGTGATAAAGAAAATAGATAAAATAATATGTACTTTTTTGTAACGTAAACATATCGACATCAAAGATAAAAGCGAAAAAGCCCAGCATATAAAAAAAAGAGAAAAGTGTTTCAAAATGAATCACTTTAAACATATGTGTAAATTCAAAAAAGAAAAACATCATGCTCTAAGAGGAAATTATTTATTGAATATAAATTCGACAAAATTAATAAACAAAGTCATGTCAGAAGGAACTAGAATGTTAAAAAATTATGAAGCAAAGATGAATGAAAAATGTCTACCCCTCATATTTTCAAGCACGAAAGGTGCCAGTCTATCTATTGCCAAAAGTTGTGGAAAAACTAAAAAGATTACTGGAACAAGATCTACTTGAACGAGTTCCTTCAGGAGGGAGCAAATTGGCCTCTTCCATTAGTAATTTTAAGAAAGAAGGATGGAGATCTACACAAAAATGTGGTTAAACCACAAAATATGTGTAGAGTCATACCCTATCCCCAATGTAGAATGGGCTTTGAACTCCCTTGCAGGTATGAAAACATTCTCTAAAATTGGTCTGAAGTCGGCTTTCCATCATATACCTATTGACAAAGATTTTAAAGAAGTTCAACAATAAAAACACCACTAGGTTTATTAAGACAGAAAAGAATGCTGTGTGAAATTCAAACCGCAAGTGCAATTTTTTTTCAAAGGGCTATAGTTATTAGTAGCAATATATAAAAACATAATATGCTACCAGGATGACATTTGTGTTGATGTTATTAATGATAAAGAATTAAAATAGAAAACTAGTATGGTTTTGGATCAATTAAAAAATGCTGGATTAATGAAAAAAATATGTGTACAACATGAAAAAAAATATCATTTTTGGGATATTTCACATCTAACGAAGACATATCACAAGACCAATCATTAATTGACAAAATATTAAAAGTTGAAGTACCTAAGAACAAAAAAGAATTGAAATCTTTCTGAGGACTTGTA